ATGACCTATCACCACCTTATTCTTCGGTTACATCTACTTTAGTGGACTAGTCTTCAGTTATATTAGCTAGATGAGTAAATTGCACGGCCGGTCCTTAAAGTATTGGTCCGATTTTATCTGGGTCCCCAAACTACGAAATCGTACTTTTGGCTCTCTAATATATTTAAGTGATCTCATCTAGGTCCAAAATAGACATGAGGAGGGTTAAAAGCTGACGTGGTTGTCCACGTGGACATGATTTAACCAGCCGGTTGGTGTGATCTCGCGCCACCGCCACCGCCGTCGGTCAACAAGCGATATCTGGACCATGGATTTTGGATCGGGCGGGGTAGGAGGAGTCGTCCTCCCCTGTAGCTACACAGGGGTGCTCTCCGGTGGCGTCCTCGCGTCGAGTCGGCGGAGGCGGACGGAGCTCGGTGGGCGATCGATCTCCATGCCGATGGAGAAGGCGGAAGAGGAGAGGCCACGACAAAGTCGCTCGCCGCGTTCTCGATGGCGGGAGGCACGGGGGAAGGAAAGGAGGTTTCCATCTTCGGGGACGGTGGCTATCTCGTTAATCATGGGAAGGGACGCAACCGCGCTCATCGTCGCAATGGGACGGCCGGGTATAGCCCAACCAGTTGCAGCGCAGCCCCAAGTGCTCACCCTACACCCTCCATCTCGTGAGGCCATCCATCTCGTGGCGGGGGTTCGTCCTCAAAGCAGGCTTCGACCTCGGCAACAACGACTACTACGACGATGATGTCGCCTTCCACTCCTCGTCATCCTCCTCCTCTCCAAGGTCAAGGTCGGTGTCCGAGGGGCACCCTACTACTCCTACTCGGGGCCCCTAGCACCGGTCCACTCCTCCTGCTGAGGGTCGAGGGCGCCGTGGCGCCGCATCATGAGGGAGAAAAAGCGGATCGCGCTTCGCTTCCACCGGCGCGCGTGCCCACACATCACAAGTGCTGATGTTAAGGGCGGGTGCAAGGCGTTTGCGTCGCTCATTGGTGTCCAAGTCCCGACAGCGTGCTCTCCGCGTTCGATTGGCGATGGGCGGCGGCGTGACGGTGTTCTACCCGACGGACGACACCGCCGTGCGCGGTTCATGTTCCGCTACCGGAACCTCGGGCGGCAGGACGGCAAGGCGTCGTTGCAATCGCTGTTTCACGTGGTGCCCGTCTAGTACACGCCGCGGGGCTCAAGTCCGACAAGAATCGCCCATGAACACGCTAGGCCACCCGACGCAAACGCCGCCCAAGACCTACAACTAACTCACGGTGCGATTGCACGCGGACGACCGGTCTAATGTATTTAAGTGATCTCATCTAGGCTGTGGACGCCGGCGCTTAACGACCGCGACCAGGCGCGCGCTCCACCCGTGTAGGCTGCAAGAGGGACCCCATTGCCATCTACGCCTGGACGGAGGCACATTGCGATGGGCGCTGCGAGGGCGGCGAGCTCGTCGAGCTGTTCAAACCCCGGCGTGCGCCGCCGCCCGACGCCGCATGGCAGTGGGCGGTGGGGTGGGGTGGATTCGGGCGCCGGAGCGAGAGAGAGAGAGGTCCTGTGAGGGGCAAGACGGCATGATGAGCAAAGCGAGGAGGAGGAGGTGGCGTGGCGCGCGACGATGGCAACAGCAGCGGCGGCGCATGGCCGAGCCGCCACCGCGCTTCTCATGGTTGCTCGCCCCGACGCGACAAGAAGGCCCGTGGCTCGACGCCGCCTCATAGCGGCGCGGCGGCGGCGCGGCGCGCGGCGGCACACTGCTCGCCTCCCTTTGCCTCGGAGGGAAGGCGCTGCGGCGGCCCCCGCGCCACTGGTGAGCTCGCATGCGCGCATGGAGTTGGAAGATGAGCTGACACATGGGCCCGGCCTGGCGGTGACTGGGCTAGAAGATCCTGGCCGCGCACGCCACGGCTCAGGGTTTTGTGCTTAAATCATGTCCACGTGGACGACCACGTCAGCTTCTAACCCTCCTCGTGTCTATTTTGGACCTTGATGAAATCACTTAAATACATTAAGGAGTCAAACGTGCGATTTCGTAGTTTGGGGACTATGATGAAATCCACTCAATACTTTAGGGACCGGCCGTGCAGTTTACTCTAGCTAGATTAATCACTGTCTGTACTGCTATGACCTAGTATTTCCAACACTAATTTTCGAGTGAATCTGAAAGCTAAGACTTTTTCATAGAGTTGTCTATTCATCAGCGTGTCAGATATAGGATCATTGGAGCATGTGATTCATCAATCTAGGTATCTCGTTCTTTGATAAACATGCCTACTAACAAAAACAAGAACCAAAAGAAATATTGCTAGGTTTAAATTCCATTGGTACATTATTTAGTCAACAAGGCTACATACATTCTAATTGACATCAGTGGAGTCTACCACTTGATCCCTCTGTTCCAAATTATTGTAAGTCGTTTTAGCTTTTCTATATACATATCTCTTGCTATGTATCTAGATATACCTTATGTTTACATATATAATTTTTACTATGTATTAAAAAAGGATGATTTACGGTTTGGAATGAAGAGAGTAAGTCCTTTTTCTTTCTCTGCCTACCCTTGACTAGACCCACTCCATCACCACGTCAAGTTCATGGGCATTGGCCATGCTAGCTCATTTGTTGCTCCTCTTAGTCATTCGTCACCTTTGATAAACATAATGCCTACTAACAAAAACAAGAACCAAAAGAAATATTGCTAGGTTTTAAATTCCAGTGGCACATTATTTAGTCAACAAGGCTACATATATTCTAATTGAAGTGGAGTCCAGCACTCACTCCATTCCAAATTATTGTAAGTTGTTTTAGCTCTTCTATAGATATATATCGCTTGCTACGTCATGTCTGTATATATAATTTTTACTAATGATTTGCGGTTTGGAATGGAGAGAATGAGTCCTTTTTCTTTCTCTGGCTACCCTTGACTAGACCCACTCCATCACCACGTCACGTTCATGGGCATTATTGGCCCTGCTAGCTCATTTGTTGCTCCTCTTAGGCATTCGTCTCCAGCCAACCTACGAGTGCTTACAGGTACATCTGAATACTTGGTCCGACGAAAATGCCATTAATTCAGTCAACAAATTGCGCATGACTCTTGACTTTATTTAAGCAAACCTTTTTTAGTACGGAGTACTTGTTATAATAGACTACTAGTGATAGTATTGCGTAGAAATTAGGTTGCTTCCTTTGTCGGTTCCTCGGTTCTAATTAAGAATCAACATGGGATAGCAGGTTTAATATTTGCACGTAGCTGCTTCACTCCTTTATTACCCTAAACAATGCGTAGCAATTAGTCAACACGTCAAAAGATTGGCCAGTAAGATTAAGAATATGTTTACGATTGGTAAGAGCACATGATGTTTAGTAGATCTATTCATTGGAGACGCTCCCATCTTTACATTTTAGCAGCAACTTTTGCTAACATATACGATTAGGAAAAAAGTAATAGAAAAGCACCTGCTACCAATGTTCAAAACACTGCGTAAACCAGTGGCCTGCTGCTGACTTGCTGTGCACTGCAGAGTGCATGAATCTTTTGCCACGGAGAACGTGCCACCGGAAAGAATTTTAATGGGAAGATGCAGGTGTTGACCATCCAAGAGCAACTTGGCATTCGATGGATGTACTCCAAGAGCAACTTTGAGTACATGAGTAGTTTCAGGGAAAGGTTTCTTCAGTGCTCCCTCTGTTTGAAATTATGAGACTCCAAATTATAAGACGTTTTGGCATTAAACTCAATATATTCGAAAATCCAAAATGCCTTATAATTTCCGTTATACTCAATGTATTACAAAAGCCAAAATGTCTTATAAATTTGAAACTGAGTGATTATTTATTTACTGGCACATGTGGCCTCCCTTACGTTACGTACAAGCATCTAGGCTCAAGCAAGGCAACCAAGTGCGACTTCAAGTTTTAATAGGGCGTCCGCAATGGACTGCTTCAAATCGCTAGCAACATGCAAACAAGATTGAATAAAAAAAGAGAAGCAGCAACATGCACAGCATGCAAAAAGGAGAGAGAGATAGACACAGGTCTTATGGGGAGCTGTGCGAGCCGAGCAATTGCTCGTCACTAGTGAGTTTGTTCCATGCAATTTCTCTCTTTATAAATAATATAAACAATCAATCTTGCTAGCTATTTAAAACCCTGTTGGGGATGCCCTTAGGGTGTTTATGAGTAATGACTGGATTTGCCAACCAAACAGCCCATGACATCTGACATGCACACTTGACATCATGCAAGACACCAAATCCCAAAAACCAAGCAAAATCGATGATGCTCCAAGTCCCAGTACCAGCTTTTACCAGGTGACACCATGTCAGAAACCAAATGAGAAATGACAGGTGACAAGGGAATTCATATCCTCAAGCTCACCTGTTACAGTGGTCCATAGCACTCTTCCTCTAGGTTATAGTTTCATTTCACCTGTTTCTAGTCAAGTGCCATCCATGAACAAAGTAAACTTCAATGTATGTTCTGAATTTCTGATGAAAACTTGCCACAAGTCATGCATGTCAGAAACATAGGTTTGCTCTCAACCAAAACGTAATAGGGTCCCAAAAGCAACAAAAAATATATAGAAAATGGTAAGGGGCTTCGAGGCCTTGGGTTCGATAAATAGGCCATTGCCTTTTATTTCACATTTTACCAAGCATGCAGTGCACTGCCGTGATAAAGAGAATCACAGAACCCGCAGTAAAGAACACCTAGGCCGATGCTAGAACACCTGTGAAGTTGCTTGCAATGTACCTGGCAAGTGAACTTCATGTTCCTTATTTACATCCTTGGAAAGATGTTACATCAGAGTATAGCAGCATGCCAGCACTTTAGGTCCTTCACATTTCTACAGAAACTAGCAACTACAAGCATCAGGTCTCCACCAAGTGTCATTGTCTTGAAGTCAAGCACACAGAGCTTTCCTTGGCAATCAATCAAACCATTGCAACAACATGAACAAGGCTCTTTATGCGTAAGAGAGGATATCACAGAAAAGCAACATTGTTCTATACATTGAATCTTGAGCTAGCTACACCTCTTCCAGCCATCCTATCGACACGGCGGCGGCCAAATGGCAAGCCAAAGAAAGATCGAACCACACCCCCAATCTCTGTTTTGCAGAGTGGGCACACTGCGTTTATCTTGAGCCATTTATCTACGCATTGAACATGAAAGAAGTGTGCGCAAGGAAGTTCACGGAGCTCATCATCATCTCCATACTTTGTAAGACAGATGCAGCACACCTGCATCAATATCAGTAAACGTTACATTTAACATGCTATGGAAGAGGGGAAACTATGTGATTGGATCTATACTACTACTCCCGTTCCAAAATTATAAGTCATTCTGGCTTTTCTAGATACACAGCTTTTACTATATATCTAGGCATAATATTTATCTAGGTGCATAGCAAAAGCTATGTATCTAAAAAGCCAGAACGACTTATAATTTGGAATGGAGGGAGTTAACTAAGGATAAGGTCTGCTATGAGTGAGCTCACTAATAAATGGAGTAGAAAATACAGAATACAACATTGACTACTCTAAAAGAGTGATCGGTTGCCTAATAAATATCAATGCTTTGAAATGGAGTTGAAACATGCAAACAAGCATGAGCACATAACTAAAACACCCCTCCCATCTCACAATATTAGTCCCTAATTATCATGTGCACAGACGACAGACCAAATTGCCACTAGGTCAGAAAAGAATAATGAGAAATGGCAGTAGCTGCTATTAAATGACATGTAAGAACCTCTTAATCTCTTTCGCATTTTCACTAGTGGTAATGTGCGGAAATATTGATGAATATCTACCGATAGATAGACTCGTGATTATAAGCACCAATAATGTGAAATGAACAGGGTAGTCACAGTATCAGAAGAATATGAGGACAGACTAGTACAAGGTATTACTCAATAGCATATTCGCTGGTTGGTTTCTGGGCTGATAAGCCTGGCTGGTGCTGGTTTGTTGTGAGAGGAAAACACTGTATCATGGCTGATAAGCCCTAGCTGAAACCAACATGCGAACAGGCTGATTGTCACCAGAACGCATGAAACGATTCACAGTTTGTGGTAAACTGAATTCCACCAAAATGCAAGTTGGTACATGGCACTGGACTGCTGGAGCGAACTCAAATGGAACAAAATGCGAGAAGATGGAGGTTTTACCAAGGAGCTCCAAAGCAGTTACAGCATCAGACCATCAATATCCTCCCCACAGTTCTCTTGAATGCCGTCAGGAAAACTCAGAACAACAAGAGGCAAAGCTGCAGCCGTGTGAGGACAAGCACTAGGAGCAGGGCAGAGCAGGGCAGGGGAGCACGAGAATAGCTTTTGCTGCTGGAGCAGAGAGCACAGAATACAGATGGCAAGGAGGAGGATCATGACCAAAGTGTCTGGCAGCAGCAACACTCTGTAGTGGCTGGAGTTGGGAATCCAGAGACTCGATAACTTGACAGGCGGCTAGGTTACAGATGATGTATGTGGGCTGGATTGGTGGGCTTGACAGCCTGGCAGCCTACTCCAAGAAGACATCACATTAGGTAGTGAATTGCAAACCCGTGCCATGAACCCAACCAACCATGATTCTGGTAACTATGGAATTACTCACAGACCAAGAACATTCACCTAGAGCACTTGAGAGAACTATTTATGTTTTAAATTGAGAATAATAGTAAGTATTCATGCATCACTGGAGAACATGTCTACAAACAGTATCACAAATTCACAATCATATAGGCTTCATTTGTGTGGTAATAGAGATGTTAACAGATAATAAATCTAAAGAATATCACTAAAGCAAACCCTTCAATTACACATAGGATATTGATGTAAGACAGCAAAAGGATGTGAAATATACTCACAGCATCTTCAGCTGAAACAACTCTTTCCTTCTTAGTTCCTGGACCGAGGATGCCGCCCTCATCAAGATGCTCTGAGCTTGAAGCATGGTCAATCCCCCAGTTTTTGTTACGTTTTGGTTTGAATTTGTAGGTTGGCAATGCATCTATTAGCTCTTGAGTAGCTCCTCTATTTTGACCCAAATCTTCTTGAAGGCGCAAAACAGAAATCAAGCACGGAAAGCAGCAGCATATTGCTGCACACGTGATAAAAGGAATGGCATATCCAACACAACTAAGCGCGAGGAATGCCAAACACAACCTGGTGAAAGGGAGCAAAGTCACGTGTGAATTCAACAGACTAAAAATGAAACAGAGAGCAATGTAGATACCTGTACATATTGGGAGCGTCCTGAGCATCTGATGAAATGCTGTGCCCACCAAATATCCACACATTGCCAACAACAAACCATACAGCAAAGAAACAGTCAACAGCTGTCTTGAAGTGATAAACCAGCACACTAAGCCTGTAATGCATAATCACTTCAGAGTTCAGACAACAATGTTCATTTCAATTTCCAGATAAAACTAACAACTGTAATATATCGGACCACTCAATTCTTCAAGATGCTACTAGCCAACATGGAAACTCACTTGAGTACTGAAACTATCAAAAGTTCAATTTTCAGGTGAACACTGAATAGCACATGTCATGATCCCCATTATCGTGTGCCTTTAGTCAAACACGAGAACAAAGGGACCATTCTTCTGCAAAGCTAATGATGCTTCTGAAGCTGACATACTTAGTATGCTCTTTTTCCTCACTTAATATGAGATGTTACAAGATAACGTGGGAATAGCCATGCTATATGATATGTAAGTACGAAATTCAAAATTTCCATGTAAAAAAAAAGTCTTATATGGCTCCAGAACCCGTGAACAGATGGCAAAACTTGACTCAAGATTGTACAGATGTGTTGTAGAATCCTTCCTGTGGTACTTATTACATGCCTAAAAATGACAAAACATGACTCCAGAAATTGAATGTGCTGTAATTTGTACCTTTCAAATTTTTAGTGACTCTATGGCACACTAAAATCGGTACATGCATGTGTCTTATGCGAACACAGTTTCAACTGTATGTCTTGGCCCAATTCAACTAAAGCAAATTAAAATGAGTAAATGAGTATGGAGAAAAAAGAAAGTATGTGTAGAGAGACATCCTAGAACTAATCATACAGCAAATTCACACTAGATTAAATAAAATAATGTCCCTACAAACAATGCTACCTTGTAAACCAAACAAAACATGTACAGAAACCAATAAGAACATTTGCTTCTATTTTTTTCCCCAGTTATGTTGTTTTCCTCTTTTAATTGGTTGCATTGCATCATGGACCATTAGACTTGTACCATTGGTTCAGATAGGCCATGACCCACAGAACCACAGAACTAGGTATTTTAGTCATCAAACTTGGATTAATGTCTTCAATGAGATTATCAGGTAGTTTTGAACTTTTGATGACTGGTATGCTACTCTCATGCCATCCACATGGCGTGGCCACACCCATCTCAATATGCATCTACAGCTTATATGACAAAATAACCAGTCATAATGATCTTTGTGAACAATCAAGATAAGTCTTGATTTACTCTCTTCAAAACTTTGTTCCCATATTGTAGCTTTTTAAATAACTAACAAATAATGTTATGTAAACTAAAGAATTGCTCAAAATAAATTAATTTTTGGACACCCTGGTGATAATAACCCATTCTATTAAACTGACAATTCGTTCACTCATCTACCAGGTTTTCTTATAAGTCTTGTAATAAATTATAAGATACACAAAACATAAAGACTGCGAAGAAGCACTGTGCACCTAGTGGGCTCAGGATATTCTAGTTGGAAAGTGGCATGGACTAAAAGTTACCTTGGGCAAGAAATTGCGATACATCCAAGACGCAAGACAACACCACTGGTATGATGGTTGCGTCCTTCTGATGACTGAGAGGGAGTCAAAGTAGGATATGTTGTAGGTGGCTGCTGAGGTTCTTGGTCCAAATGTCTGTTTCGATGAACATACCGCCAATAAATAAGAGGAAGACTAGCAATGCAGCCAACTGTATATCCAATTATCCATGCGAACAAAGGAGCATGGGGATGTTCATGTCTTGAAAAGACGAGGATGACAATAGCAGCTACAACCTGAGCAATGTACAGGACAATTTCAAACGAGATCCATAAACCAGAGTTCCAAGGACTTCTTCCATGACCATATATACTATCTCTTCTAGGAAAAGATAAATTTCTGGAGCTATACGCAGTTGGTGATAATGATGGCGAAGACTCTGATGACGGGGTTTGTGTGCTTGTTGATGGCCTATCTTCCTGATGTGGTTCATCCGAGTCACTGTACATATCTTGATGACTGGTTAATGTTGATGCGGTTTCCCCATGTGCTACACTTATAACATGCTCATGTGCATCATCACAGGAATCGTGCTCCATTAATAACTTGGATCTATCAATTTCCAGCTTAGTTCTTATGTCAAAAGGGCACTACCATAGTCGTTATGGCCAACCATCTGTAGCCCAATAATGAGTTTCTATCTTTCTAACCAGATGTTACCATTGGCCATCATATATATTAACTAAAATACAGATGGCTGAAATGTTGATCCTCAATAATCTACTGAACTTTGAGTTGTGTGCTAGGTAACTTCGCTTGCTTCACAGAAGATCCTCACAGAGGTAGCCTAAGCTACAAATTCGAAACAAAGGATTTCTCATGTACCTTTTTTCATATATACATACAAAGATAGTAGAGTTATTCATAAATATACTGAACCGCTATACAAAAAATATTAGTTCGCGTGATAGGCTAAGCTGTGATTGGTACATGAATTATGAGTCGATTACTGTGAAAGGTCATGATTTATGAGTTTAAAATCCTATGAGGAAGTGTCGGAGAAAAACTTATTATTACTATAATTTGGTTTCATGCTGGGCCGACTAGTAATAGGACCCGATGATATTTGCAAAAGAAAATCGAGATTAGTGGGCATAATACATGTATGCATTTGTAATTAGATCAGATCCGAATACAAATAGCCAAACAGTTTAATTTAGGGTTTAGGTACTGGGTTTTGTAAGGTACGGGAGAGGAAGGGGTGGGCATACCTGGTGGGTGCTCGTCGGCGGCGAATACCTAGGCACGGCACCCTGGAGTAGGGCCGCGGCGGCGGTCACCCCAGACGTCGCCACGAGAAGGATAGCAGCGCCCGCACGAGGGGTGAACGGGAGAAGAAAAGGCTGGGGTGATCGGGCGAGCAGGTGCGGGTGCTCGGCGTGCCTGAGCCTGACCACGAGGAAGGAGTGGAGGAGGAAGGGGAGGCAGGCAGGCAGAGCAGCGGTCCCTTTCGTTTCGCCCACACCGACCCAAGTGTGTGACTGGTGAGGGTGGGCCTATGGACCTGGTGTATGCGTGTTAGGAGGGCGTGGCTCCACCAGGTGGGCCATGGCGATTTTCACAATCTTTTTATACATTTTCTTTCTCTTCTCTAAGACTATAAGAAACTAAAGCGGTTTTGTAGTATATATATAAAATAAAAAGCACGTTGTACTTGCACGCGTATCAGTGTATCACCCGATCATAAGGTTCTTCTGACTATTATTAATTCTGTTGGGTGCTGTTTTTTTTGAAACTGGATAGCACTTCCATTAAACACAGGCTAACAAATCGTTAGCAACCGTTACAGCAACACTTTCAGGTAAGGAGACCGAGATCATCCCATCCCCCTCAGTGCAAACGTGCCCCAGAATAGCCAGCTCATGTGCGGCTACATTATAGACTGTTCACGAAACAACACTCTAAACTAGACAAAGGTTTTATCTCCTCCACAAGATATCCGAAAGCCGATTCAGCATAGGCTTCAGACTTCAGAGCTCGAACAACTTGTTGGGCGTCGGTCTCCAAGATCAACCGAGACAGCTTCCTGCAAACCCTGGAGGCAAGATATCAGCCGCTTGGAAGGCATTGAGGAGGTTGCCGATCTTCTCCCTGCTGTGATTACATCCCCGTCACAATCACGAATAAGAAAGCCCCAGCTGCCAGACTTCGCCTCAGGAAGGAAAGAGCCGTCATAGTTTAGCTTCAGCACTCTGTCAGGCGGTTTGGTCCACTTCTCTCTACTCAGCCCGCCAGGCACCAGCTCCTTGACATGCAGGTTGGAGTTCTCATTTGCATAGAATTCAATATTGCGAGCAATAGCTTCAGTGCTTCGGCGACGACCCTCCTCCCTGATTTCTCTCTCTCCAGATAAACCAGAGAGTGATCATCATTAGCTCTTTCTTCGGTTCTTTTTGTTTCAAAATCCACTCTACCACACTGGTGGCATCCGCGATTCCAACTATACTTCCCTCTCGGCTTCCAGGTTGAGCAAACGCCAGACATGCTTGGCTAGATGGCATTTGAAAAACTGGTGCCCACCATCTTCACCCATTTGGCCGCAGACCGGACATCTTACGTCAATCTTCGTCCCGCGACGTGCCAGATTATATTTAATGCATGTTCGTTTGGCTGATAAGTCATGGCTGAAAGTATCATTGGTTAATTTGTTGTGAGAAAAAATACTGTCTCGTTAACTGAAAAAGTACGGCTTATAAGCCAAATGAACAAGTCTAAGTGGATGGCTGTTATGAGAGAACCGCCACAGGAAATGCTTTACTTTGTATGGGCATTTCAATTTTCACGTAGTTGACCAGACTCCATCTTACCATACGAATCCTGTCTCCAAAAGCTGGGCAGTCAGCGTGTCACGTCGCGTGCTTTTCCCGGCCGTTCGATCAGGCGCGCGGACGGCCCAGATCGGACGAGCCATGGTCTTTTTGCAAATAAAATCTCAAACTCTAGTCGAATCAACCCGCAGTCCAGGCCTCCTCTTTTTTTTTCAAAAAAGCCCTCGAACTTAGGGCCATGTCGCCAGTTAGTCCACTGACCGTTCGATCCGCCGAACTTGCAATGGTGGCCGTTTGATTGCGGATCGGTTGGGTCTCTACCCGTTTATTTGTCAACCCGAAACCTTGGGAACCTTCTCGGGCTTGTCCATCTCACCGAGCGGCGACACGGGCGCCAGCCACCAGCGAGGCGGCGCAGCCCCACGGCCTCGGGCCAGCCGAGCGCGGCCCTGCAGCCGGATGCGCCCACCACCGCGGCCCTGCAGGCGCCTCACTCGCGTCTCGCGCCGCCGCGGCGGCCTCCCCTGGTCGGCGCCGTAGCCACAGCGGCCCGCCGCTTAGGCTCACGCTCAAGCGCCGATCCTCCCAGCCGTTTCGCCCGCGCCGCCGACTACGCGCACTCGCCGGACGACGCCAGGACCCCGACAGACAGGGACGTGGAGTCGGACGAAGACGTGTCGGCCCTGTACGAGCGCTGCCGCAGGGCTTTGCGTGACCACGCCGACCACGCCGAGATGGCTTCAGGCCACTCCTACCTTTGCAGGCCCTTGGGCAGGTGCTGTTCCTGTGAGGACGGGGGCCTTGGTAAGCTCTCTCTCTCACACACGCACACACACAGTCTCTGCCTATCACTTTTGGTTATTTTCCTATTTCTTCTCTCTTACTATGCACAGCATGTGTTTGATAAAATGCCTGTAAAGAGATTATGGAGCCAGCTACATCTACGATTATTTGAGACTAAGTCCTAGACTACCACAACAGAACCTTTTAGTTTTCTATCTCTTTACGGTTACAGTGCTCACCATAATTTTCTCTATCCCTATTCCTCTTGGGTTGGCTATTTATTTTCTTAAAATAAAAAAGGTACTGCTGAAATCCATACAAGTAGATACTCCAATTTACCACTGCTTATGTGTAGCAAAGATTTGGATAATCTGTGCAGATGTATATCCTGAGGAGCAAAGTTCATTTGGTGCTAGATGTTATCCTGAATCATGCTAAAGGTACCTGAGTTATCATGTCCAACTCAGCTCTAATAACTATCAAAGCAGAGAAAAATGGGTCATATCAGTGAAGAAAAAACGTGTTTTACTTAAGCAATTTAATACAACCATGTTTGGCTCTGCTGAAAGCTTTGAATTTAAACTCAAACACCATGTAATATTTGCCTTATATACTATTTCAGACATTCTCTTCCATTGCAACATCCTGACTCTGAACTATAAGGCACGCAAAAAAAATGTAAGTCTACTATACCTCCATCTTTCTTGTGCTATATTTGGTGCTAATTGCTAAAGCTCTGCACATAACTTTCTTAACTCATCGACTTCTCCGCATTTGGATTTTAGCTGGGCTACTATCTCTCTCCTTCTGTAAATGATTTGGCTAATCTGTGTAGTTAATTTTTTTACTTTGTTTTAAAAGCTTCAGAACTGCAGCCACTGCCCACTGCTATAGCCTATAGGCATGATCCTTTTGTTTTCTACAACTACAGCCACGCGAACAGTTCCAAAATTTCCTTCTCAGCTGTAGAAATAGGGCAACAGTAAGAGAAGCTTTTTAAAATTGGTTATCTCTATATAAGAAAAAAAGGGCACCAAGACCTACCAAAATTTAACCAATTGAAACTCATTTCATATTTAATTGAAACCTTCCAATATGCTAAACTAACAATTGAAAAAAAAACAAGTAAAAATAAAAATAGTTTCTCTGGCTGCAGTTCCCTGTATCATGCTATCCTATTCTCCAATCTCTAGGGATACATACCCAAAAGAGCACGTTCTGATTTTTCCCGTTTTACATAATTTCTAAACAAAAGAGAGAATTGGAAGAGAAGAATTCTGTAGCCATTGCATATGCTGCAGTCATTATAGCAGTTCTAGCAACTTCTTTGTGTATGTCCATGTGGTACCCCGTGGTATCTATCGTGTATATCCTGCAACATATACAAAATCAGATTCATAAGATGTTGACACGTCTGCTTTGGTTATCACTGAGTTCTTGACTTGTTTTTCTGAATCACTACACTATCAGCTTATCGTATATTTTGAACTTCTTTTTCCTCTCTTCAAGTTCATATAGGCAGTTAGGCACATCATACTTTTTTTTGAGAATGATCTCCTTAATCAGGTTGTACACGTACACGTCAGTACGTATGGAATCCGTTCTATTACTACGTGGCGAAGGCAACATATAGTCTCCAAATGGACTCACACAACAGTATCGAAGGCTGGCCCAGACACAGGCAGGGCGCGGCAACGCCGCGCATGATTTCTAGTTCCTGCTATTCGCACTTCCACTTTGGTGACTCCCCACGCATCTGGCTCTAATGGCGTCATCCCTGCCAACCTTGTACGCACTTTTAACGCTGAAAATACCATGCTTATCAAAGTGCCAAGCCAAGAAATTGCTCGTTCTTCGTGAACCGGTGTGGCAAGGATCATCTCAGCGTCTTCTTCCCAAAAGACATCACGAACAAGTTGCACATCCCACGAGACAGGTCCAACAATGTAGCAGAACCGTCTGATTTATAAAAGCACAAGTACAATGGCAGTCTGCAAACGGTCACACTATCATACTTGAGCCCATATAAACCCGGTAGTCTGTAGAGTACCACAAAGGGTCTCGATTAACCGTCAAGATACAACCAAGATCGTACATGATTCAATAGACATGTCATATGTTACATCAGTTCACAGATACAACGTCGTACATCAGAGTACGATTAAGAGTTATTACAAACCATATTCAAATAAAATAGTCGCGGAAGCAATTAAGTTTGAAAACCAACACCTCACATCATTATTCCAATACAGTGTCAGTCCATGATCACAACCACAAAAGCATGATAGAGGAAATTAACGAGAGACGTCTTACCCAGGGCCCTACTCCTCGTCCACGGCGGGACAGAAGCAGTTCTTACAGTAGCTATGATAGACTGTACCATCTGCAACAAGTGAGAAATAAACTCTGAGTACGAGAAGATACTCAGCTAGACTTATCCGTTATAAACAAAAAATAAAGTGACTCTAAGGATCATGCAAGGCTTTATAAGTGGAGCTAGCTTGACATCATTTTGCATGAAAAGCTATTAATTCAGTTATACATTTATAATTCGGTCATCAAGTTAATTATAGCTATTCATCTCTAGATTAGCAACTAACCTGTGTCAAACATGTGGTATATCATTTAGTAGCATACAGTAGTAACCATAGCCGATGTAAAAGTTTCAAGCTCACCATAACCATCATTCCATAATCCAATTATTACGATGTTGGAGCTAGCCAAGTTTCTCACTGTCCGGGAGAGATGGCGATTCGAATCGATTTCAACCAGCTGGGAATTTATTTCTAACACAAACCCAGACTGACCAGATCAACGGTCACCTTAGGTCACCTTTGGTACAACTTAGGTACACCTTTCGCGGGTTCGATCAGCGCCGCACATTCAGGGATAACCAGCTGCCAGGACGATTAGGACTACCCTGCCCTTAGGCTCACATCCAGCTCCCCGCACATCCTTACTACCATCCAGAGTACGCACTCTAACAGAATGGGGTCGGGCTGAGTTGAGCTACTCGGCTTCGCGGTCGGAACGAGTCATCTGGCCAGCTAAGTGAGAGGCATGTGTTCAATCTCAACAGAAGTTCCAATAACGGTACGGCCCTTAATCGGCACAGACGGAATCACATAAACCAACCTACGCATAGACTCCATCCGATCTCCAGTTACATTACCCATGGTTCTTTTCCATGATAGCAAATATAGCCAACCGTGCTTCATTATCCACCTATATCTCACAGGTGACAGGAAATCACCGGACTTCTACCGATCTAAGCATGGCTAAGCATATATTCGATCCTGGACCTATACAGGGTTAAAAGTATATTTATCTAGACAAGGTAGTTCTATGCATCAAGTGTTTCTAATTCAACTCTTATAACATAACGCATCAAATATAAAGGACTCAAGTGATATTTTGTAAAACATGGGAGGCTTAAAATGCTCCGGGGCTTGCCTTTGAGAAAAGAAGTTGGCCGATGATTCGGGCACTCGGGTAGGTCCTCAAGAGCTTGCTCCTCACCTTTTGGAGCTACGGGCTGAGGTGCCTCCTAATGTTCATCTTCTTCTTCGTTGAATTCTAATAGACTGATCCCCTTGGACGATCCTATATGCATGAGCATGAAATAAGATATCACGAATGCATATATACTGACATGCATGATATGATATGGTATGATGAAATACATCCTCATAAGTGTTCTCAACAGCATTGCATTAAGGTGATAACAAGATAAATTTTCTTTTACTGAAGTAGGTGTATATCTCTTCTCTAATAATTAAACAAAGTCTTATCTAAGCAATTTTCTGGAATGCAAGACAGCAGCCACTTGTTTTGACCATAACTGGAGTTATAACCATCTAAATAATATGGTTGTGGACTTTCTGAAAAGCTTATAAAATTTCCTACAACTTTTTTTCAATTGTCTTAAGGTGATTCAGTAGTTATCTATGCCAAACAATTCCATATTTTAAATCTATCTAGAGAATAAGTATGTCTGACATCAGAATTTTAACAACTATAATTCTCAAACCATAAGGCCTATAACTATGAAAATTTAACACAAGGTAGATAAGTAAGTTATCTACAACTTTGTTATTAATAAGTTTCACAGAAAAGATCATTATCATCATGAATTTACCACCACAACAGAAACTATACATGCAGCCATCTAGTTAAATTGTAAAGCAATAATTAACTAGCTGCCTATAACCAATTACCTCTAAGCCTAACTAATAGCACCAACAGATCATATGCATCAT